CAGTCAGTTGGCCAAGTGGTTGTTCTCCAGATTTCTTGACACAACTTGGTGAGCACATCCAGGGCAGCATCTGTTAACTGAAATATGTCAATTGGTATACCATCTATTCCTAGGGCCTTATTTTTTGCTACTTCCTTCAAAGCAGCCTGAACTTCTTTGATCACCACAGGCTCTTGCTCATATGTTGTTTCATGAAATTCTTCTGTGTCCGCCAATTCCTTTCGATACAATGACTCAATATATTCTTTCCACCTTCTTTTAGTACTTCCTTGATCATTGAATATTCTGCCTAAAGCATCCTTGATTATAGCAACTCGAGGTTTGAATTTGTTCTTCAGTTCCTTGAACTTAAGAAATGCTGAGGGAGTTCAGCCCTTTTGATTTTCTGACTCCACTCCTTGCACATTTCATTGTACTATTTTACTCTGTCATCCTGTGCTGCCTTTTCAAATCTTCTATTCAACACTTTAGTATCTTGAATTCTTCCTTGTGCTTTGGCTTCTCTGTGCTCCAGTGCAATTTTCAGAGTCTCTTCTGACATCCATTTTGGTCTTCTCCTCCTCTTCTGTCTTTGCAATGACCGTTTGCCCTCTTCCTGGATGATACCCTTGATATCCTCTCACAACTCGTCTGGTCTTCGCTCATTAGTGTTCAAGGCCTCAAACCTGTTCCTGAGATGGTTCTGAAATTCAGGTGGGATAGACTCGAAGTCATGTACTTTTATCTATAGTTAAGTCATTAGACTGATGAGGCTTCCATGATGAAGAATAAGCCCAACCTCCTAGGCATCAAGTTGGTCCTACTGGCAGAGACCACACCCACAGCTGCTGACAGAGCCCACCTAAAAAGGCAGATCCTGGGGGGTTTTGTCAGATGATTTAGTGATGCACCAGTGCAGGAGATTTGTGCTCTAGCATCCCAGCAATAGTCTAGAAAAATGACCCAGGAGTGTCCTAGTGACAGACATTTAGTAAGTGAGAAATTACTAATTGGTCCACCAAGCCCTGAGATTTTTTTTTATTTCTTTTTGAATGCAAAACATCTAACACTGTCCCAAGCTTAGATCCCTCACAATAGAACTTAAAGAAATAGCAGTCATGATTTAAAAGCAAAATCATTCATTACAGACCAATTTATAATACACATCCTCAAGTTAGACACACTGAGGTGACCTGCATCCACCAACCTGTCGCTCACCCAGACGTGTTCTGTATTGTTACACTTCTGCAGTTCTTATATCAAAGCATAGATACCCATGGAAGAGGCATAGGTGGGCCCCCTGACAAAAGGAAAAGAAGGTCTATTTTCCTAAAACATGTAAGAGTATCAAGAGACTCAACTAACCTCTAGTTGTTGTTGTGTCAAGTCGTAGATGACTCATAGTGACCCTATGAACGAAAGACCTGAACAGTTGTAGAACTGTCATCATTTCTCCAAGTTCATAGAGTTTCCAGAGGCAAGCCATTTTGGAAGTGGATGCCATTCCTACTTCCAGGCCTGTTTCCATCGGGAAGCTCCACCAAACACTGTCCACCATGGGTGACCATTAACACATTTGACACATCACTGTCACAGTTGTTGAGCATCACAACTAACTTACCGTAAAAAAATATAGCTTCTCTATTTTCAGTGGCCTGGGTGGATGTGGAAGAGATAGTTTGCAAAATCTGCCCCAGGTGCCTTTAAGTCAATTCCAATTCAGAGAAATTCTATGCATCTTAGAACAAAACTTTGCTCAGTAAGGTTTTCAGTTGAGTACTGTTTGAAAGTAGATCATTACATCTTTCTTGCAAGACGTCTCTGAGGGGATTTGAACCTCTAACCTTTTAGTCAGTAGCCAAGCATCTTAGCCACTGTCCCAGTCAGGGACTACAGACACACTTTTAAGTGCAGTCAGCCTGTGTTCTGTGATTAGCCCACCATCCAGGACTCCTTCCCTTCCCCGGCCCCTGCCACATACCTCTTTGGAGCACCAGGCACATTTTGGGTGGATGAGCAGACATTCTTCACATGATGTGGCACTTCCACTAGTGCATATGTTGAGACCTTCAAAGCAAGATAAAGACAAAAATGCACTATTTAGTTCCTATTTTAGTTTAGCTATAAACACATACCAGAAAGACATTTACTTGTGTTTGACTATGCAAAGGCATATGACTTGGTGAACTGTAACAAATTATGGATGACAAGAGAATTCCAATACACTTAATGTGCTCATGCAGAACCCGTGCATAGAACAAGAAGTCATTTGAATAAAATAAGGGGATACTGCATGGTTTAAAATCAGGAAAGACATGCATTAGAACTATATTCTTTTAACAAGCTATTCAATCCCTATGCAGAACAAATAATCTAAGAAGATTAATTATATGAAGAAGAATGTGGCATCTGAGTTGGAAGGAGACTTTTTAAAAATTATTATTATTTGTGTGTGTGTACCATCAAATCGAATCTGACTGATACAGGAGGAGACTGTCTCTCCTTCTCCAGCAGAGCATCTGGTGGATTTGAACTGCTCACCTCTGTGATTGCAGTGCAGCATCTTGCCACTAGGCCACCAGAGCTTGCTGGAAGGAGACTTTTTAAGAACATGTGATATACAGATGATACAACTCTGCAGAAAATGAAGATGACTTGCAAGTACTTATCAATAAAGCTCAAAGAACGTAGACTTTAGTACAGATTACACATCAACCTAAAGAAAACAAAAATCCTCACCAATGAATGGACCAATAGGCAACATCATGACAGTGGAAAAAAGATTGAAGCTATCACATGTGGGAAGCCGAACATTAAATTTAATATTAATAATAAACCAAATGCTATATCCTGATAATAGAAGCACTAAGGCATTCCTTAAAAGTCAACATTGTTCTTAGTTTGTATTTACTGAATCCCTCCCTCCTGAGATTAGCATAAGGTAAACAATAGAGAAGAATTTCCTCTTATCTGTAAAAGATTTCCCCATGATCAGTTGGGTTTGTTTTCTACTCCCTTGTGATTCTCTTTTGTTTACTTCCTGATGATTCTCAATAAATACACAGAGAGGCATGGCTTGGGCACTTCAGTCATCAGGACTGCTGGCCCCCTGTCTTTACTCTCTCTCTTATCTCATTCTTGGTTGACTGTCTCATTATTACTTTACCCTCAGTCTGCAACAATTACAGACTTTGTTTTATTTGGATTCACAATCAACACTCATGAAAGCAGTCATCTGCTGTAAAAATGTCTCTGAAATGCCAAAGAGCAAGGATGTCACTTTGAAATCTAAGGTTCACAAGACATGGTATTTTCAATTGCTTTGCATGCATGTCAAACTTAACAATAAATAAGGATGACCAAAGAAGAACTGTTAGCTGTTGTTAGGTGCCTTTTAACTAGATCTCATAGTGACCCCATGAACAACAGATCTGAACTGGATCTGAAGCTTGCATCATCCTGTGCCACCAATAAGCTCTCTGATACACTGAAGTCCATTGTTACAGTCACTGTGTTGAGTAATCTTGTTGAGGGCCTTCCCCTCTTTCACCGATCCTCCACATTTCCTAGCATGATGTCCTTTTCTAAGAACTGACCCCTCCTGCCAACATGACCAAAGAATATGAGACCCAGTTTCTCCATCCTTGCCTGTAAGGAACACTGTAAGAAAGTTGCTTTCCCTCCAAGGCATATTCACACTTTTTTTTTTTTGGCATTTCATGAGATATTCATTTCTCCAACACTACAACTCAAAAGCATCAATTCTTCTGTCGTCTTTAGTCACTTTTTAACTTTCAGATGTATAACAGGGAACTGGATTATGTTGGTGGAAAATATTTGGGCTGGCTGATCAAAGAACAAAACAAATCTATCCTGGAAGAAGTACAGGCAGATTGTTCCTTCAAGGTGTGGATGAGAAGATTCCTCCCAATTTTGGACATGTTACCAGGGGGCTCAGTGCCTGGAGAAGGACACCAGAGTTGGTAAAGCAGAGGGTCACTGGAAAAGAGGAAGGCCCTCAAAGGTGGAACTGACACAGTGATTGCCACAATGGGCTTCAGCACAGCAGAGATTATGAGGACGGTGCAGGGCTGGGCAGTGTTTTGTTGGGTTGTGCACAATGTCACTGTGAGCAAGGGCTGATTTCACGGCACTTAAAAACCATCACACAAGCCTATAGATGATGCTTTAAAATGGGTAGGGAGGAGTAATTTCCGTTTTTAATAAGGAGCCTCTCTAAGGCTGAAAATTACAAGCCCCAGTGTTAACTGCAATTTGCTCATTTGCCAAAGCTAAACATTTACAATGTAAGCGCTCACTCTTACTGTGCTGTTGAGTTGATTCTAAAACATGTTGTTGTTTCAAGCCACTTGTGACTGACAGCAACCCTATATACAACAGCCCTGACCCTTGCTCTAACTTCATTGTCTCTAATACATCTACCACCATTACCCCATTCACTGAGTCAATCCATCTCATCGAGGGTCTTCCTCTCTCGTGCTGTCCTTCCACCCTCCCAAGCATGATGTCCGTCTCCAAGGAATGGCACCTCCTTGCAACATGCTCAGAGTATGTCAGACAGAGCTTCAGAATCCTTGCCTCCAAGGAACAGCCTGATTTCACCCTCTCAAGGATGAACCTGTTTGTTCTCTTGGTGGTCCATGGTGTGTTCAATAGTTGTCTCCTGCACCTCAACTCAAAGACATCCATTCTTCTTCTATCACTCTTAGTCACTGTCCAGTTCTCAGAGGCATAGCAAGTATGGCAAAAACCATGGCCTGGATTAGGCACACCTTATTCTCTAGACTGACATCATTGCTCTTCAGTACTCTGGAGAGATCTCTAACAGGAGACTTTCACAATGCAATTAGTCTTTTGATTTCTTGGCTGCTGGTACCAAGAGTGTTGATTATGGAGTCAGGCAAGCTAAAGCTGTTAGCAATCCTCATCACTTCACTGCCTATCATGATGCTGCCAATCAGCCCAGTGGTGAGAATCTGTTTTCCTAATATTGAGCTTCAATTCATACTGAAGGGTGCAGTCCTTGGACCTTCTGCAGCAAATGCCTTTGGCAAGCAAGGCTACATCATCTGCATAAGTAGATTGTTGAAGAAAGAGTCTTCCTCCAATTCTGATGCAACATTGCTCTTCATAGAGCCCAGCCTCCCAGGTGATCAGCTCCGCATATAGATTGAAAAGGTATGGAGATAGGATGCATCCCTGGCATACACCTTTCCTGATTTTGAACCATGCAGTTTCCTGGCTCTGTTCTGACTATTGCCTCCTGGTCCAAGAATAGGTTTCACATGAGCACAATCAAGTGTTCTGGGATTTCCATTCTTCTCAGAGTCAGTCACAGTTTTGTTGTGATCCACACAGTCAAATGCCTTTGCATAGTCAATGAAACACATAGTGACCCTAAAAGACAAACTAGACCTGCCCTATAGTTTTTTCTGGGCTGATCAGATCACCAGGGCTTTGATCCTACAGAACCACTGGGAGATTCAAACCACCTCCATTCTTTTGAGTTAGCAACTGAGTACTATAACCATTACACCACTGGGGCTCCTTACTCTTGAATTAAGCCCACTCACTGCCAACTGAATCAACTCCAACCAATGAAGACCCTCCTCCATCAGGTTTCTGAGTATCAGGCTTAACAGGAAGAGATTTCCTCATCTTTCCCCTGGGGAGTGGCCAGGTGCATTCAGACTTTTAACCTTTAACCTTTGGTTAGTAGCACAACACTGAAACTACTAGGCCACCAGGGCATATACTGGTATTGCTGTTGTTAGGTGTTGTTATGGGAGTGTCAGAGACGGTGCGATTGGCACAGGACAGAGCGGAGTTTAGGGCTGTTGTACATAGGGTCGCTATGAGTCGCAGGTGACTTGACGGCACATAACAACAGGTGTTGTTAGCTCTGACTTACAGTAACCCCACATACAACACAGAATGAAGCCCTGTCCCATCCTGCTTCATCCTAACCACCTCTGCTTAAGCACCCATTAGCCACTGTGACCTTGAGGCTCTACCTTCTTGTCACTGACTGGTGACCTAGTGGTAAGAAACTGCACTGCAATTCCAAAGGCACATGGTTCAAATCCACCAGCTGCACTGAAGGATGGACAATCTCCAGTGTGATTAACTGCCTCTGAAAACCTGCTGGAGGGTCAGCTATGAGTCGGTTCTGACAGTACACAACAACAACTACATTTCCAAGCATGACGTCTTTCTGTAAAGTCTGGCCTTTCCTGACAATGAACTTTTAAGGAGCACTCTGGCCTGCATTTCTTCCAAGACAGATTTGTTTATGTTAACAATTCCTACTTGTAGACGCACTTGAATTTCCACTCTCTTCCCCGCCTCACTGATAGGGAACATGAGGCCCTTTTACACATAAGACTATATCAAAATCTAATTAAAAAAATAGTACAAAACAGGGAGGGGAGGAAAGAATAGATTCATTTCATTAGGATAGAAGAAAAGAAAATCCAAAATCAAATACTATCAACCCGAAATCTGCATATGAAAGAAGCCAGCACACTCCCTGAGGAAGAATGCACCCAGGAACACAAGGCTGGGGAAGAGAAAGGAAATTCACTAACTCCGTGAATCATCAACAGGTCAAGTAAGAAAAACCCTATCACAGCTTCAGGAGAAAATGAAGAGGCATTCAGTAAATCTAAAAACTCAGAAACTAAGATTAAAAGGAAATTATTTAATCATTGTAAGTTACTTATTTTAAACTCCTCCTCCTTCCCCTGGCATTACTGTAATCTAGGGCAGGAACTCCAAGGGCCCACTCTATGTGGTGGTGGAGTCAAACCCATTACCCACCTTCCTGCCCCTAGCAGCACAGATAACCTTGGTGAAACACACCCTTTTCTGTTTCTCCCTCACTGAATATCCAGGATTGCCTCCGATCAATAGCAGAGTGTATTGGCTTTTCTCTGAATGAAATGACACTGCTGGTCTAACAGATGCTAGTTGCTCTGAATGAAAAGAGAAGTGGAGACAGTCACACTAGGTGGATGGGCAGAAGAGAGACTCTGGGCACTAGTCCT